TCTGAAAAATACCGCCAGTTTGGCTTTTCCCTCGAGTTCTTAAATCCCGTTCACTGGTTTCAGTTCGCCGACGATGCCGCTGTAATAAGCGGTCAGGAATCAGAAAGTCAACACCTAATTAGTCGCTTCATATTATGGTGTAATTGGTCGAACATGACGATCAGAGTTGACAAATGTTCTACTTTTGGAATACGGAAACTGTGCACTAAATCTGTCCAATATTTACCCAAGCTGTTGATCGATGGAGTTCTATTTCCCTGTGTGGAAATGGGTGAATCCTTTCGTTACTTAGGTCGCTTCTTTGACTTCAACATGTCTAATAACCAACACAAATCTGAATTGTCTTCTCTTGTACAAGTCTTGATGAATGAAATCGATATAAAGCCACTGCATCCTAAACACAAACTTCTTCTGTTCAGCCGCTATGTCCTATCGAAATTGTCATGGCATTTCACCATAGCAAATATATCCAAAACCTGGATAACGCAACATCTCGTCTCTGTAGTGAATGGCTACATCCGAAAATGGCTAGATGTTCCGATATCTGGAGCACTGAGCAATGTTTTCCTAGAAAGCAATAAATTTGGTCTTAATATCTGTCCTCCCTCTATGAAATTTACTCAGTGCCAGTCAGTTCTCTGAAATTCATTAAAAGAGTCCCCAAATGATTCCTTGAAAGCTCTCTGGAAATCGTCAAGCTGTCACACTAATATTCAATATGATGTGTACAAATCCACTAAGGAAGTTCTTAAGGATTTCTGTTCTAATCAAGAGGATAAACTGCAACACCACCTAACATCTCAGGGTTTCTTCTTCTCAAATGTCATCAAGTGTTCATTGTCATCCGTGTAAATTCTATTTGGTCAGTGGCCCAGTCTCATCTACCGAAGAACATTTACAACTTTACCATCCGCTACATCAACAACTCTCTTCCTAGACGTAAGAATTTGGTAAGATGGGGATTATCAGAAAGTCTTGATTGTTCCTTTTGCCTTAATCCTGAGTCACTCCTTCATGTTGTCGCTGGTTGTCAACAATGCCTTGATCGCTTTACCTGGAGACACGACTCAATCCTTAACTTCATTGCCAAGTCCCTTCAACTTGTAATTAATGTTAGCTCCTCAATCTATGCAGATGTTACTGGTTTTCTAAATCCCTCAGTAATAACTAGTGAAAATTATCGCCCAGATCTTCTTTTCCTAACCCAGTCCAAGTGCCTATATGTTCTAGAATTTACAGTTGGTTTCGAATTTAACCTGTACAACAGTGCAGTACGTAAAAAAGAAAAATATCGGAACTTGATTAACGAAATGAGTAGAACTTTCAGATGTGTGAAATTTGTAAATATCTCCATGAGCTTCCTTGGCGTTTTCTCAGATGAATGCTCTACGTTCTTAGACCTGATGAATGACATAGGGATTGCCTAAAAGCAGCAACTT